CCCCAGGGCAACTGCCCCGTGTGCCACGAGTACCTCTTTGACTCCCACGCGCCCATCAAGGAGCTGCCCTGCGGCCACTTCCTGCACTCCAGCTGCTTCGCCCAGTACACCCGCTACAACTACACCTGCCCCGTCTGCTGCAAGTCCATCGGGGACATGAGCGTGTACTTCAAGATGATAGACTCCCTGCTGGCCGCAGAGGCGCCCCGCCTGCCGCCGCAGTACGCCAGCCAGACCCAGGCCGTGCTCTGCCACGACTGCGGGCGGCAGGGGCTCGCCAGCTGGCACTTTGTGTACCACTCGTGCCAGCACTGCCGGTCGTACAACACGCGCGTGCTGTGATACGCGCGGCCCCGCGCACGCGCGCGCCGCTTTGGGCGCGGGCGGGTCGAGGCATGCAAGCTGTTTGGGCGTCAGGAGCGCGGCTGGCGCCCCTCCGGTGCCTGCTTTTTGCGGTGTGGCTCTCGGCACTGCTGGTCGCTGGTCTTCTGTTAGCTCTGCTGGGGTTTGGGTGCCGCGTGTTTGGCTTCAGGGGGGCCACGCAAAACCTGTTCTGCAGCTTTTCTGCCCGGGCGGGCTGGGCAGCCGCAGAGGAGACTCGCCTGCGGCTGGGACCAACGGCTGGTCCTTTGCACGCAGCGTCACCTGGGCCGCGCCGAGGGTGCAATGAATGGTGTCTGCCAACCCTTGCCGGGTGTGGCCTCCGAGCCGGGGGCGAAGTTCCGTCTAAGCCCCGTCACTTAATGTTGCGAGCGGGGGCCGCGGCCGCCGGATTTGCGGCGCGATGCGAGAGCAACCTCTGTCGGTTCCCTTGGAAACGTGCCCGAGCCCACACACGCGGCTCGGCGCCTGCCTGTGCGCCTGACTGTGTGCGTCTATGTGAAACGTTCCCGCGCAGCGCCTGACTCGGCTGCCCACGTAGCGAGCACGCGCCTGCACCATGCTCACACCTGATGTTGAGTGAAAGGAAGCAGCTCCCCCGCCATGCAGCAGGGGCACTTGCTGCTTGACGGCGGCGCAAGACTCGAGAGAGACGGATGAAACACGCAACAATGCTGCCGAGCGTGTCGGCTGCACCTGCACTGCCTGTGCACACACGGCGCCCTTGAGTCGATGAAGAGCACGGCAGGAATGTTGAAACTCTGCTATTCTTGTGTAATCTCGATGTCGCGTGTCAAGTGTAAGCGCTGTTGGTCTGAGCAACGCACCCTTCAAGCGGTGGGGCTCTCTCGCTGTGCGGGCTGCGGGGAGACTGATGCACCCACCCATAGTCAACATCCCAGTGCTGGCTGCAGCCTGCGATTCTGCCATCCCTGTGATTGCATGTTTGCACAAGACACCGGCGTTACCCTGTGGGGTGGAGCAAGGTGCGGATCCAGTGCCCTGCCGCCTGGCGCATGGTTCCTGGCACGCAGGCGTGCAAAACACGGCGCCCCCGGAGTAGATTACTCTGCGCGCGCTCGTGGATGCATGCACTGGGCAAGCAGGCGGGCACAGCCTGCGTGCCATGCCAAACGGCGGTGTTGGCAAGTCCTAGCCGATGTGCCTTCCTGTGAACGCAGGCGGGCTGTGGAAGGGGGAGTACGGGTGGTAGCCACCGCGGCGCACCAGCGATACTGTACCGCCACGTGTGCATGAATGCTCAATATCTACCTAACAAGAGTGCAAGGTTGAGCCGATGGCGGCAAAAGGCGGTTTCAAAGGAAGAAAGCCCTGCAAGATTCGAGGTGCATGCAGGAAGGATGCATTCCCTGAAGGGCATCAAAGGCACACGGCCTACACGATCTCAAGCAGCACAATGCACGACCTCTCCGCGTGTCAATACATATGCAAGTGGTATGGTGGCTTTCTAAAACCGCCGTGGTGCGACGGCAGCAGGGAGGGTACAGCCTGCGCAAGAGCCCCCCAGTGCAGCAGCCGCACTCACTGCCGTGCATCTGTCTGCAAGGTTGCTGCCGCCGAAGGCGGGCAGGGCGTAGCCCGAGATGGGTGAACCACTTTGTGTGAGCGAGGAGCAATACCTGGATTGCGAAAATTGGCTGCAGGCAAGAGCACCTCCCACGTGCGCAGGGACCCCTGCTGCCGCTTTGGCGCAGTGCTCTCTCTGTGCGCGTTCGCTTTTGGACGCCGCCGCGTTCAAGAGAGTACAGGCAGGAAAGCGTGACAGTTGTTGGGGACGCAGTGCTTGTTGTGTTGAGGGGACAGCCGCTTCTGGAAGAGCAAGCGGCGCGCCGCTTGGCGTGGTTGTTTCCGTATGTGTGCAGCAAAATGTGTGTGGGGCTCCGTGAACGCGCTGGATGGGGTTGTGGTTGTGCCAAGCAGGTGCGCGAAAGGAAGCCCACAGGCGGCATCGCGCACGCTCACCCAGGGGACTACGGTGGAGAAGCAGACCAAAACTACGGGTCTATGTTCGGGAGGCTGTCGCGCCGCCGCCACATGGCAGCTGCTGAGCAGCAGCTCAGCGGCAAGCAATTTGGCTGCCAGCGAAGAAGCACCGGTGGCCTCACAAAAGCAGGGAGTGCAAGCAATCTCGCAAAACAAAACAGCCACAAGAACCTTTGAAGTGCGGGTGTGCAAGCACGCACAGCTGGGCACTATCAGTTGACAGGCTGCTGCTGCGGTGTGCTGGAGGGAGGGCGAGACTCTTGAAAGTGACCGACAGCAGCTGCGCTGCGAGCACACACACCTTGGGGCCAGCCAGATTGAAAGGCAGGCACAAGGGGCACACGAGCACACCAGGCCGCCAACGGCGTTCAGGGAAGGTTGGGGCTGCCTGGGTTGTCGAACAGGTGTCCAATCGCTGGGGGCTGGCAAGCTTTAAGAAAGAAAATGAAATGCAGCAAACAAGGAACTCTCCATCCTGCATCCCGTCGCCTCAAACGGCTGCGTGAATGGTGCCTCGTGGCACAGCCTCTCTGCAACCCCTATCACTGCCGCGCCGCGGCGCCGCTCCCTGACGCGCCCACGCCGACCGCGGCCGCAGCGCCGCCACTGCGGCCCATCGCCTCCGCCGCCTCCTGGTCCAGGCTGCACAGGGCCAGCCGAACTGCCGCATCCACCCCCTGCTTTAACACCTCTGCGGCGGCGGCGGCGCCGCGGACGCCGCTGATGCCGCTGCTGGCGCCGGCGCCGCGGCCCGCCTTGGCGGGCGCGGGGCCCGCCGCCGCGGGCGCCTGGTCGGCGCCGCCGCCGTCCGCGCTGTCCCTGGACATGCGCGGCGCAGCCCGCTGCTGCTGCTGCTGCTGCTGCTTCTGCTGCTGGGCAGCCGCCACGGCGGCGGCGGCCGCCGCCTGGTGGCGCGAGAGGACCATATCCTTCCACGGCCCCTGCAGCTGCTCCGCCTCCTCCTCCGAGATCCTGACCTCGCTAAGCTCCTTGCAGGCCTGGCACAACTGCAGCTGCAGGGGCGTCAGCGTGTGCTGCAGCACCCGCGGCACCACACTGGCCGCCTGGGTTCGTTGGGACGGGTGCACACGGTGTGCATAGGTAAGATGAAAGCAGCCAAAACGCGGAGCCTGCGTCACAAACTATTTAAGAGACTACATGCAGGTGTGTGGATGAATGGAGGCGGCGCGGCCGTGGACAGGCAGCCCACAGCCAAAAGACATCCTCTTGGGCCCATAGGCGTGGCTCTCACAGGCGGCCAGCCCGCGCTTCGTTTGAAACCCGGGGGTCCTTGCCTTGGTGGCCGTGTTGGCCGCGACCTCGTGGAGGAGGTGCTGCGGCAGCCGCGTGGCGAGGTCCTTCTTGAGCTGGGGGCCGCACAGGGCGGAGAGCGTATGGTGGCGGGGGGTAGGTGGGGCGGGCGGGGCCTGGGCCTGGCCGCGTCAATCCCCGGCTCCCAGCCGGCGGCACTGCTGCAATACGCTCAAAACCCCCGACTCAGGGCAACCCACTCAAGAGCCCTGAGTCAGGGTTCTTGGTCGGGTCGCGGTACTGCGAATGCTGATCACTTGTCAGCAGCAGCGAACCAACTTAAACAGCAAAGGCGCGCACGCGCACGGGGGCAGCGACTGCGGCGGTGGCCCACCTTCCGCATGTCTGCCAGCAGCGCCAGCTCGCGCCCCTGCTGCTGGCTGATCTCCTTCTTCAGCGCCTTACAGGCCGCCGCCTCGGCGCCGCCGGCGAGCAGCTTTTCAATTTCCCTCTCTTTCGCCTCCAGCTGCCGCTTCTGCGCCGCGTTGGCCTCCACCTGCTGCCTGTGCTCCTCGGCCAGTGTCGCCAGCTGTGCTTGTTCACGTGAAGAGAGCAGCAAACGATGAGGGAGGTGGTGAATGCGAGGTCGCAGCCCACTGAACGCGCAGACGATTCAGCCGACAATCAAGAAGAGCAAATCCAGTGCTGCGGCACATTGGGCGGTTTGGTAGCGATTGCAACGCTGATGCCGAGCCCGCCGCGCACCTGCTCGTCCCGCGCCGCCACCTGCGCCTTTGCATGCTTCACGGCGTTGGCGTGCATCCCCTGCGCGAGCGCGGTGCGGCGGTGGTCGAGCCCGCCGGCGACGATGGGTGGCCCTGCGCGGCTAACGAGCCGGCCTGGTAGGATGGAGGGGCAGTTTTGATGCGCGCCATCCAGGGCTGGTATGCGTGGACCCAAGAGCGCGCGGCAGCGCGTTCTCAGAGCGCCTCGGCGCGCTGGGGTGGCAAACACGCGCGCGCCGCTCACCGGCTGCGGCTCCGCCGCCGCCGCGGCCGCCGCCGCCGCCGCCTCTGCCGCCTTGATGCGCTCCTGCAGGCGCTCGCTCCTGGCCTTGGCGGCGTCCAGCTCCTTCTGCAGCTTGTTGCTGGCCGCCACCAGGGCGTCCAGGGCGTCTTGGCTGGCCTTGTCGCCCGAGCCGACCTGCGGGGTTGCCAAATTTCACGACAGTTGCGGGCGGAGGGTGAGGAGGGCGGCGGCGCGGCGGCGAGGGGGCGCAAGCGGGGGCACCGCGGACGCGCGGGGCGGTCAGGGGGCCGCCGGCCGCCGCGCTCCCCGGGCTGGGCGGCGCGGGGCGGCCCGGCGTTGGTGGCTGTCGGGCGCGAGACAAAGGAGGGCTGCTTGAACACAAGGGGCTGCGGCCCTCAAGGTGGGCGACCCACCGTGCCCCTAAGCTGGGCGACTTGTTTCTGCGGGTAGGGGCCACACAGGGAGGGGGGCGACGGCGACGTTGGATGGTGCGACATGGCCGGTGCCACGAGTGCTGAGTCGTTAGCCTCAGCGCCGGCGCAGCAACGCGGCGGACGCAGCCAATCATCAAGGCCAGAGCACCCCCTCTGCCCGCGTTGCGCGTGCTTCATCCTCAAGACGAATCCCGAGCAATGGCGACCGCCGCCCACCTGCAGGCGCCGCTTCTCCTTCTCTGACTCCAGCCGCTCCCCCCTCTCCGCCTCACGCTGCTCGACGCGCTGCGCCTGCGCCCTGTTCCATTTGTCTGCGTCCGCCTGCAGCCCCTGCGGGCGCGCGGGCGCGCGAGTGGATCGATGCACGGGAGGTTTGCAGCGGCAAGGTTGGCCGGCCCCAGCCGCGGCGACCCGTTTGGAGGTCCGCCTATTTGACGGCCGCCCGGGCGGCTGGCTGCACTGGTTACGCAAGCGCGGCCAGGCGGGGCAATGCTCGCGAAATGACCGATTGACAGGCCCTAGGGCCCTTACCTCCATCTGCGACTCAAGCTGCAGGGGGCGCGGCGCGGTGGTCGGGGTCAGTTGCAAGGTGACGTGGGCTGAGGTGCATGGCGAGGGGCCGTCCCTCCGGCGCGCTCTCAAGCATTGTTGCTCATTTCTTCAATCCCATCAGCCTAGCATATCAAATCCCATGACCCTGGACGGCTCCGGATGGGCGGCCGCGGATTGCTGTCGCAACCAACCTGTTCAAGCCCACACGAGGAGAGCAAGGCCTGCCGGTACTCACCCTGGAGATTTTGATGGCCTGCTCCTTCAGCGCCTTGTCCTTGGCCCCCAGCTCTTGCCGCAGCCCCTGCTCGCGCTGCTGGCTGCTGCGGAGGTCCCCCTCCGCCTGCGGCGCGCGGCAGAGTTCCGACAAGACGCAGACCAGTTGCAGGAGCAAGCGCGGCTTCACCGGCAAGATGGGATGGGCGGCGCAAGCTCTTGAACAAGGGCGAGTGCCGTCAGCACGCCGCGGGGTAGGCCCAGGCACTCTCCCGAGGCCCACCTTGTTGGCGCGCTTCTCGGCCGTGGTGGCGCGCTCCTGCGCCTGGCCTTGCGCGAGGTGCTGCTGCTGGCGCATGGCGTTGGCCTGCCCTTTGGCCGTCCTGAGGGCTTCCTTGACACCGCCCAGCTCCTCCTGGGTTAAGAAGCGTGGAAGGTTGTGTGCGTGTGTGTGTTTGTGTGTGTGTTTGTGTGGGTGTGTGTGCGTGCGTCTGTGCGTGCGTGCGTTTGTGTGTGTGTGTGTGTGTGTGTGTGTGCGCATGCGCTTGTGTGTGTGTGTGTGTCTGCGTGTGTGTGTGTGTGTCGGGGGGAGGGGAGGGGATGCGTCCAAACCGGAGGCGGGCAGTTGTGCTCACGACAAACGGGGAGAGTCGAGACGAGGAGCTGTGACACGAGCAGGCGGGATACGAAGGTGAGCCTGCGAGCCAATCGGTTGACACAAGAAATCGGGGCCGCCGTACGGCGGCGCAGGCCAGCAGGGCCGCCAGGACGCAGCATCCCAAGACAGGGCCAGTCAAACAAAGAGCGCAGCGCGCGCTCACCTTGAGCTCGGCCTTCTCAAGGCCAAGCTGCTCCAGCTGGGTGGTCGCCTCGCCCAGCGTTGCCTCCAGGGCCTGGCTGGCCGCGGTGGCCGCCTGCAGCTCCCGCGCATTCATGGTCTGTGTGCACAGGCAAGGGTTGATCAGCCCACAATTCATGAAAGGTGAAGGCCGCGTGAGGGTGAGGGGGCCCCACTGCAAGAACAGGTGCCCAGGACCTGCAGCAGCAGGTGTGCCGCGCAAACGAAGCGGTTGTGAATTTGCAGGCGACACGGCCGTCCTCGGCGCGGCCGCCTCAGCCTCATCGCGGGGCAGTGCTGGATGGCGGGCTCACGCCCCCATGTGAGCGCCTCGCACCTCGACCACGTTGCCGATTATGCCGTGGACGAACTCCTGGGCGGCCCCTTGCGCAGCAGCACGGCGGAGCAGGATCTGGTAGCAAAGCCGGAGTTGAGCGGTGGCGGGCGGGGGCCTTGATCGGGTCCAGATATACTAGGATTGAGCGACACATGAGCAGCAACGCAAGCAGCCTGCACGCCAAGAATGCACCCTGCTGGTGTTCTTATTCACAAACAGTGTGAGCACCTAGGGTTCAGCAGCGAAGGTGCATCTCATCGTTTGATGCAAGCCTAAAGAAGTGATAAAACCCCAACCATCGCCACGCACCTTGAGACCCTCGATCTTCTGCTTGGCGGCAGCCAACACCTGCTTGTAGGTGGCCAGCTCCTGAATGACGGGCGGCAGCGGTGGGCCGCGGCTGAATGTCCAAGTTGTCTGATATAAGCAAAAAACACGGCAAGCACTACTGTACACACCCCGCCCCCCGCATGATCAGTCCAAACGCTCGGCCGTCAGCCCAGCGCTCAGGCACCAGGCAGCGCAGAGCAGCCAGACAGGTTTGGTCGAGGCAGCGGTGGTAGTGCGGCTGGACTGTTCTGCCTCAATGCGGCAAGGGAGTCACCTTGTGAAGCATCGCAGCCACCAGCACCAGCTGGCGCCGGCCCTCCTGCGTGATGGGGACGACAAGACCGTGTGGGCTTGCGCAGTGGGGCGTCAGGTGGTCAAGCAGCTTGATGCTGTGCTAAGTGCTAAGCACAGTGCCTCTGCCCTGCCCTGGGGAAACGAGGCCTCAAACACCACAACGTATGCAGCAAACCCTCGCGGCCTGTACTGGTTTGCCATGTTCACCTGCACCTCGACGAGGCTCGCGCGCAGCGCCTCCACCTCCGCGGCGCTCTGCTGCTGCGCAGCGCAGGCCTGCGCCAGCTGAGCCTGCGTTGGAAGCGTTGGTTGTTGAGGAGACAGCAAGCAAGAGCGCAGGATGAAGGCTTGAGGGCTTACATAGAATTCTAAGCTCAGCGGCAGCACAGTATGCTCACACAATGAGCAGAGCGCGTTCCCTGACGGCTGCCAACGCCCTCATAAATTATCACGCACCTCCTTGGCCGCCAGCAGCCCCAGCAGCGCCGCCATGGTGGCGCGCGCCTCGGCCCCCTTGGCCTGGAGTTGATAAAGCAAGGACCCCAGCGGTGGTGATGAGGAGGTCGTATCCATGGAACGAGCTTGCTGTGGATCAGGCTTGACACTGCAATCACGGCATTTCTGATGACATCAGCACGCTCCGCCAATAGAGCACCCATCACGACTGAGCATACATCAGATGAATGTATACATTGTGCGTGCTCCTCTTCGCTGGTGGCTCATGAAAGGTGCAGTCAAAGCGTCGATCGCACAGCGAGCTTGGCCCTCGCTGCACAATGAACGCATCTCTCACCTGCGCCGCCTCCAGCTCGGCCCGCTTGGCTTCGAGGGCGTCCTCCTGCGCCTTCAGCTCGGCGTCGTTGGCCTCGGCGGCTCTGGCGGCCTGCGCCAGGGCCTCCTAGGGTTGATTTGCACATACATGTGTGAGCAGCCGCAGGGACGAGAATTTTTCAGCTGTTTGAGCCGTGCATCCTCAGATGCCATGCAACATGCTTTGAAAGTTCCATCAGTCAGGCCCATAAGCCAAGTTTCAGCAGCTGTGAATGCGGAGCACACCTGCAGCTGGTTGGCGGTGCTGGACGCCTCCGCAGTGGCCGCCCGTGCATCCGCAAGCTGCAGGGTGAGGGTGGATGGGTTGGGTGGTGGTGGCCTGTGAGTGCTGCCCGCAAGCGCACGCATGCAATCCAGCACCACCTCCAGATCCATCACCACCTTACGCGCGCGGACGCTCACCTGCTCGGCCAGCGAGTCCCTCTCGCCCTGATCGATTAGTGGATGGCAAAGGCGGCGGAAGTGGCGGTTAACTCGATTGATTCTCGTGAAAATTGAAGGCTGGATGCAAGTGTCAGCATGTTGCGAACGATTTCATACGGGACATGGTGTGGTGATGCATGACTCAGGTTGCTGCTCAACACCAGCGCAATTTGCAAGGCGCTCAGACCAGCAGCAGGATTCGCAGGGCATCAATGGCGCCCGCAAGCTCACCTGAGCTTCGTTGCAAGCAGCGTTGAGCTCTGTGATCTGCATGAGGTTGGGTTGTTGCAGCTCAGAAATGTGCAAGCCCATGATATCTTGATGCTGGGCGCTCCTTGTGCCTACTGATGCAGGCTCCCAATGATGTCACCAGCCCGTCATGCTGGAAAGCATGTCAACGTGCTGGTGGCCCGTTGGCTTGTACTGCTACATGCAAATTTATTTACCTTCTCATCCCGCTCCCTGAGGTCCCCCTGCGAAGGGCGTACCGAAATGTACCATACGGTAAGCGGGATGTGGCGAATGTGATCTGCCGTCCAAGCCCAGCCATCAGCCGCAATCACCGATAGCATACGGGATCATCAGGACCGAGATTCGCGACAAACAGGGCTATTGTCAAGACCAGGGTACCGATTCGCGCCACGCGCAGACAAAGAGGCCTCACCAAAAGGCTCTCCTGGTTTCTGGCAGCCAGGGCCTCGCGCCTGCGTATCTCGAGGACCAGCTTGAGCGTCTCCTGCATACAGTCAGGGCTCCAAGGCTGTGTGAGATCGGGGAGGGCGTCGGGAGTCGGGAAAAACACGGAACCCCAATCCAGCTCACCCGCCTCGCGCGCCGGACGCCCGTGCACCAAAGCACGCTGGGAAAGTGGGGGGTCTGGATATCCATAGGGTGTATCGTGAACGACGCTGGAACGGGCGGCAAGCCGCCTTGGATCTGCAGGCCTGCTCGATCGTTGTTTTGAGCCCTTATGCCTTGTCTAGAGCATTGCAGTTGTTCAAGTAGAAGACTAAATTGGATTTAAAAAATGATTGGCCACGCGATGTCGCCAGATTAAGTAAGCAGCACGGGGGTGGGAAGCTGCAGCCTGCAGGTGATCTCGACCCCAACTCAGCGATCACAGTATCGGTCTGCAAGGCAACACAACGTTTGATTGGTTACCTGGTGTGGGTGGTGAGCAATCGAACACTGGGTGATGCTGGTTGAATGACGCGGCACCCACTGTTCACGCCCTGCGTCGTTGAATTGCTTTTCATGGAAATCCGTTCAATGCAGTCGCGCTAGAAAATCCAAGGGCCTGATATGGAATGTATGCACAACAATGTCACCGGTGCTAAAAGGGATTGGGAGCATGGGGCCAACCATGTCACGAACAGTGGGGGCCCCGCCCTGCACCTTATGATAGCCTGCCTCCCACGGGCCCGGGCCAGCAGGGGCCCCTGCTGGCAGCAGAAGCTGCCAGGGGGCAAGTGCCCCTTCAACCATGCTTGCCCTGCTTTTGGCCCAGCCGTGCGCCCGCACGGCTGGTCTTGTCTTTGACGATTAAGGAGTCACGGTCTCGTCCTATCGCTGTTCAGCATCGTCGCCACCAAGAAAAGCCAAGCACAGAACAGGATTGGGCAAGGGTTGGCGCGGCCAGCCAAGCCAGCAAGCCGCGAATGGTCGCACAGGACTACATTGTGGACAGCGCACCGTGCTAGCTTAGCCAAAGTACATTTCAAGCCTCAACCCACACTCAACTGCACGCCAGCACCGATTCAACTGAACACACACGTCAGCAACTGACCCCAGCATGCGTCACCTCGCCGGAGACCGGCTTGCCACCTACAACCACCAACCCAGCCGGTCCACGGCAACGCGCACGCTGTGCAGCCCGAGCCGCGCGCCCGCTGCCCAGGGGCGCTGGCTGGGCGCAATAACTAGGACATGCGGTGTAAGTGTAAACAGCCTGATTTGGCGAGTGGTGTGCAGCCTAATCAGCCAGGTCTGGTCCCGTTGAATCTCCTGCCTCTTTTTTTCGGGTTTCCTCCTTGTCTTCAGCCCACGCCCTGAATTGCAGGGCATATGCCCCCCCCCCGTATACACCCCCCGTATACA